GCGCGGCCGCGCGGGGTGACCGCCCACGGCGCGGGCGCGACCCAGGGCGCTTCCTACGCGCAGCCCTCGGTGCTGTCCGCGCTGCACCTGGGGACGCTCAGGCCGCCGGCGGCAATAAGTGACCCGCCAGGGAGCGCCGCGCGGATTTCGACCCGGTGCATGAGGGCACCCCAGTCTGCAGGGCGCCAGCTTCCAGGTGACGCTGACTCTGCAGGGCAGTTTTCCGCAGCCCCCTGAGGTCCGCAGCCTGATGGATTCGCAGCGCCGGCGGCGGGTGGGTGGGCGCCTTTCCTGCCAAGGCTGTGGCGGCGCTGAGAAGCCGCAGCGGATGCCGTTCCCGCCCGGCCAGATTCTGGACAGTGAGTGCAGACCTTGGCTCTCTGCTGGGCGACTCTGGGCCTGGATCGCCGACGACACCGATGACAGCGTCTCCCGTTCCTGTGGACGCCCGGCCGGTGACTGTCACTGCTTCCCTGCTCCGCCAAGTGACAGGGTCCCCGCGAGGCTCCTCCTTTCCAACTGACCTTCCGTGCAGTGCTGTCCCTGGACAGTGGTGGCGGCCGCTGTCCGTCTGCGGCAGGCTTGCTTCGGATCCTGTCATCGTGCCGTTCTTTGATTGTCCTTGGGGTGGAACAGAACTGGCTTCTGCTCGTAAGAGGCACCAGGAGTCCCCTTCAGCACACTCTTCCCCGGGCCCACCTGTCTCAGGTCCTGGGCGAGAAGTGCTCCTTCGAAGGAGGCGTGGGGGCTTGTCAGTTTCGCAGGGCGGGCCAGTGTCCACGGGGTGACGGTCTTCAAACGAGACGGGTTTGGTGACAGGGAGCTCGTACACCCAAAGGGAAGTCGGTGCCAACCTCGGGTGTCGCTTCACTGAGGAGCCGCCTCCCCACGGACAGGCCGAGGGACTGCCCAGCTGGCCGCCAGGGCGAAAGCAGCCTCTGAGCCGCTCCCGCTGGTTAATTTTAGTACGAGAGTTCTTGGGGGTCAGGACAAGGCGCCTTCCTAGAATGTCGGTTTGGTGGACGAGGCACGTTACTTAGTGACTGAGTTTAACCGACTGGGAACTAGGAAGTGAGAGCTGACCGCTCAGGGTCAGCCTTCGCACTGCCAACGTCCCCGCCCAGCCTCTGCCGCAGGCGGGACCTGTGCGTCCCAGAAGCTTAGCAGCATCTCTGGTCCCTACCTGTGAGGGGCCGGTGTCCCCCCCATTGTGACAGTCTGATATCACCAGTGTCCCTGGGGCACATTTACCCTTGGCTGACCCACGGGTTTGGGGGCCACCTTCATTCACCCGTCGAGTCGGGGTCAGTGGCCCAGCCCCTCTGCTGGCTTGGAATGACGGGGTGAGTGCGGCACAGTGGCAGGTGCTGACTTGAAGCGTGGGGGACCACACTCCCGGGGTGGGTGTTGGGGACGGGGCCATCCGGGAAAGGAAGCTGGTTCTGTGGCCTGTACTCAGCCCCACTGCCTCAGCACCTCACGTCTGTTGGCAGGTGATGCCCGTGCACAGGTGTGTGGGCACTTTGCAGGGGACGCCTGCGGTGTCACCGTGTCTGTATGCCCCTCCTCTGACAGGTCAGCGCTGCTCTTTCTAACCAAAACGTGGTCCCCGCCACAGAGGAAGCTCCACTCACGGTCACTCCGGCTTAACCTGCCGACCCCGCTTCCCTCCGCGGCTTTGTCAGGAGGAGATGCCAGCACCGTGGTCAGCCTGCTCTCCGGAGCCCCGCGTCACACTCACCACGTGCGCCTCATCTGCGCATCGTCCTCACGGCCCATCATGCTGTGGGCCCCGTTTCACAGGTGGGGAAGCTGAGGTTTGCACGGGTTCTGTCAGCGGTCAGGGTGGCAGGCTGGAGCAGGCAGGTGGCCGTCCCCGGGCCATCCCTCGGCCATCCCCTCCCTCAGCAGCGGCTGCCACCCCATAACTCTCGCAGCCATTGACATGCGGTGGTGCAGGTCACCGGCAGTGACCAGAGCTGCTGCGGAACGTCACGCAGCTGCACCCCGAATCACCGCCCGTCCCCGTGTCAGCCCCCGGCTCCCCGGGGCTTTGGGCACTGCCGGGCTCAGCACGGCGGAGAGTACGAAGTTGGGGTGCTTGCCCTCTGTGCCGGGGCCCCCAGGCTGAGCCATTCGCACCCCGCTGGCTGAAACAGCACCACACGGCTGCCTTGATGAGCTTTTTCCTTACCGTGTGGAAATGCCGTCACAGAGGCGTCCCCACACGGGGAAACTGTTCGGTCGGGGTGCTCGCCCCAAGCAGCCGAAGTCAGCCTTTCTGGGGGCCTGGGAGACCCATCTGGCCCTGGGTAGGGAGAAGACTAGGTGACTTTTAGTCCTGGAGACCTCGGAAGGTGGGGTGAGTCAGGGCGAGCGGCGCCGGGGGCACTGGACAGAGCAGGACGAGCGGGAGGGTGCTTCGGGCAGGCCGGTGCAGGAGCCCGTGCTGCTCGGGGGGCAGGCACTGCCCGGCCCTGCAGGCGGGCCGGCTCCCGCGGCACCGCGTAGGTCCCGGGTGACGTTCACCGCACGCGGAGGGCCTCGTTCACACAGTCGGTGCTTGTTTGGTCCTGACACTCGCTGGGGGACCCTGGGGAGCTAGGGAGGACCCGTCGGGGGGGGGCAGTGTCCACAGCAGGTGCCTGAGCGAGGGACCGATGGGGAGTGGCAAGCTCTCCGAAGCGGCGGCTCGCAGTGCGGGCATGGCCTGGACGCGGGCCGTGTTGGACACATGCCAGCCGGGCCCCGACTGGCCTACTGGGGGGGGCCCTGCCTGCCCCGTCCCCCGTGGCCTGCGAGCATCAGCGCTTGAGGACACAGCCACCCAGACGCCACATGGGCTGGCGCTGCAGAGATGCCACGACCCTTCCTAGCAGGACGTCTGCCGGGAGGCGTGGCCGCTGCCACTCGGCGGGACGAGCCAGCCGCCCTCAGCAGGACACCGCAGGCGGAACACCAGGACGCACAGAGGGCCTGCGGGTTCCGTGGGTCAGAAAGGGGAGGACGGACCAGGTAAGGGCAGAGAAGCTGCGCGAGCCAAGCCCCTCGTGGGCAGAGTGGCCTGGGGACCACGCTGGAGGGCCCAGCAGGGTGGGTGGCCAGGGTCACCGTGCGATCAGGTCTCGCGCTCGGCCGGCCTCCCATCGCGGAGCAGGACATCACGTCCACGCGCCAGCTCACGCGGGAACAGTCCGCGTGGACGAGGAAGTGCTGCCTCTGCCGCCTCGGGAGCCCAGCTCCGGGGCCCGAACCACAGGTGACAGCCTGGCACGGGGCAGAGCCACAGCGTGGCCCATGCAGGGCACACGCCATGGTTTGGGACAAATCCACACTGGAGTCCAGACGACCGACTCGTACGGGAGAAGCTGCGTCGCAATCCCATCGTGAAGTGGCAGGCTTTCTAGAGGAGGAGTGTGTGCGCGTGTGAATGAGCGTATGGGTGCATGTGTGCACACGTGTGATGTGTACACGTGTGATGTGCACACATGTGTGCATACATGTGTCTCTGCTGGTGGCGTGTGCATGTCTGTGCACATGTGTGCACATGCATATGCATGTGTGTGCGCATACATGTGCATGCATGTGACAAGCATGGTCTGAAGACCCATGAAGTGTGGACCTCTGATGTGCATACATGTGTCTCTGCTGGTGGCGTGTGCATATCTGTGCACATGCATGTGCATGTGTGTGCGCATACATGTGCATGCGTGTGACAAGCATGGTCTGAAGACCCATGACGTGTGGACCTCTGGAGCTGGAAGGAGACGTCCCTTTTCCTCAAACGCTCGCTGAGGCCGCATCCTGCAGAGCCTGGGAGGTAAGGATGAGCACGGGGACCCGAGGTGGCTTCCACTGGAGAGCCGGCAGGGCCCCACGGGTGCAGGGTCCTAACGCGGAAACGTGCCGAGTGCCGAGTGCGGGCGAAAGGCCCATTGTCATGCACGGACGGACGGCTTGAGGGCCGGACGGCTCTCTGACCGGCTCAGTGAAGTGGCTGCAGGAGCAGATGCCCGGGACCCGCAGCTGGGCCGCAGGGAAGGGCTGGCCTCGTGTCAGGGGGGCACGTGCCTGTGATCGGGGGCGTGCACCCTGAATTCTCAGAGACCTACCGCTGAGGCGCCCCGTCCTGGTGTGGGTGCCCACGGGTCGCTCTGAGCCCCAGGCCCCTTCCAGCTCACGGCTCTGCTGCTCGGCCCCTGTCCGCATCGTCTCTATTCAGTCAGTGGATTGGGACGGACAGGAATCGCCTGACGAGGCGCCGTGGACAAGGCCCGGAGAGGTGTGCCCTGCCCGCCACACAGACCCGACTCTGCCTCAGTCCCACGGGAGTCCAGGGAGGGTGGTCCGGCCATGGATGAGGAGGAAGACGGGTGGGCTGAGTGCCTCGCCATCACCCGTCTGGTGCCGCCTCAGCGTGTCACACGGAGGGACCCTGTGACTCCGCAGCCTCACTCCCGGGCGTGTGCCCGAGCCTGGGGACCGGCTGCTCACAGACGCTGCACGCGAGTGCTCACGGCGGCAGTGGCTGACAGGCGTCCGGCCCCCGCCCTCCCTCACGCTGGCACAGGCACCCTGCACCCTGCTTCTCAAGCCCGGCGGGAAGGGCAGCCTTTCCCCCACGGTGCCTGTGCTGCGTGTGCGAGGCGTGCCTCTGTGCCCGCCGTGGGTCACTCGCCCACTCCTGATCCGGGAGCAGGCGATGCTCTCAGGCCAAGAAACGGAGGGAGGGGTCCCCACAGGGGTGTTGGAAAGGCAAACGGTGTGTCGGCCGCCGGCCCACCACGGGAGCCACCGGCCAGCCCACGGGGCAGGAGCACCTGTCACCCCGGCTGGAACTCACCCCCAGTCCCCCAGCGGCCCACGGCCGGGGACGGGCACACGACGAGGCTTCGCAGTGCAATAAAAACGTTCGCGGCTTCTGTGCAAGGGCGGACCCTCTTCCTGCAGCTCAGCGACACGGAGGTGCAGGTCCTGAAGTCAGACTTCAACTTCTGCGGGACGGAGGTCCCTGCTGTGCGGTCAGGGCTGGATGCCCAGGGCTGGCACGCGGTTTGACCCCCAGGGGACACGCCCGGAACATCAGCCACCTGAGTGGGCACTGACCCGAACGCCAGAACGTCCGCGCCCCCGGGTCATGGCAGAGACGGGAAAGCGCAAGGCACGCGATGCGGGGGGTGGGGGTGGGGCCGGTGGCCAGCGAGCCCCGTCACGGGCTGCGTGACCGTCACGGACGTGGGGGGGACACCGTGCAGACATGCGGCCTCCGTCCCTACGTGGAAAGCAGAATCGGGCATGGGTTTCGTTAACGACATGAACATTTTTAATTTGTAAAATGCCTTTTTGCAACATTTAAATTTCACATTACAGTATTTTTTTTTTTTTTAATAGTCAAGTCTTTAGAGTCCGTGCCACTTGGGCCTGTGATCTCGGGACCCATTAATTTTACTTTTTCTCCTGGCACCTTCTGCACCAGCCTCGTTCACTCGTCTGTAAAATTACGATAATAACAGCCGTGCTGGCCCAGGCGGGGCAATGACTGCTCATTAACTCGTGTTTACGTGCGGAGCCCCGAAGACGGAGACGCCGAGTGTTCCCACTCGGCTTCCAGTGTGACAACCGCTCCGGCCTCACGAGCCCCCTGCACGGGGCGGAGCCCGGGGACTGTCACCGGTGCCCGCGAGGCCCGGCAGCGGGGTCAGGCTCCCCTGCCGCCCGGCTGCGCCCTGTGCCGTCAGCCGGACCTCTGCGAGCGGGCGTGGGACCCACCGCGCTGGCGTCAGCAGAGCTTGGAGCTGCGAGACGCCGGCTGCAGCTCTCAAGGCCCCGGCTTCACAGCGCCCTCCCCGACGGCGCACGACACAGCCGTCCACGCGACGCCCGCTCACTGTGTTGAAGAAGAGACCTCTCTCTGCTCCAGATTTTTTTCTTTTTGCCTTTTTATCACTCTTGCAACCAAAGAATAACTTCTTTATCTCTGGCGAGGCCTTCGGGCAAAACGTTCTTGAGACGTCAGCCAACCGAGAGCAATGCGACCCCGGCTTTCAAAGCTTGTCCCGAGCTGTGGTTCTGGCGCTCAGGTTAAGCGGGCACTGGGCGGTGACAAGGCTAAAGCAGAACGCTGCCCTCGAGGCCCTGCATGGCCTGGTGCTCTTAGGTCACTCGTTGGAGGGGCCCTCACCCAGGAAAGTCACTCGAGCCTTCGCTCTGTCTCGTCCCTGTGCGGGAACAGACAGGAGACGATTCACGACACTGGCCACGGGCACAGAAAGCAACACGGAAAACATTCCAGTGATGGTAACATTTTCTGTGCAGGTAAAACAGAAACGTGGCCGAACGCTGGCAGACTGTGTGCAGGTCTGGCCACCCGCTTGCTGCATCCTGAGGGTGTCCGGGGCCTCAGACGCGGGGTCCGGGGGGGCACACAGAGCCGGAGACCCACAGGGTGGAGGCCGCGCCTGGTGGTCCAGCCACAGCTGTGCAGCTACCGGGCAAGTCCAGCTGGAGTCGAGGAAGGTGTGGCCGACCTCTTGATCTGCTGCTTTCGGTTTTGTTTACAGACTGGCCTGGCAGGGACTGCGCGGCTCGCAGATGGAATCGGGGTGACGCCCGAGAAGTTTGCACCCCGACAGCGGCAACCCTCGGGGGAGTCGGAAGAGGCCCCACGCGTCACGCTCCTGCTGGGAGCGGTGTGCTTTCCTCCCCGTGCGGAAATCCCCCCAGAGGGACTCCGGCTGTGAGGGACGGCGGATAAAAACGTGCTGCATCGAACGAGTAACTGATGCACGGATTTAACAGCGAACGTGGCCCCGAGCGGCGGGGCCACCAGCCCATCCGCCGCAGAGACAGCGGCCGTGGCCGGGCTCCACTCCAGGGCTTGGCCAGCGGCTCTTGGAGAACCAGAGAGTAAACACCTTCGGCTTTGTGGGCTCATCACAACCAGTCGGCACGACAGCCCACGGACGATGTGTGAGCCAGTGGCCGAGGCCGTTTCCATGAAACCTCGGTTTCGGGAGGGCTGGGTTGGGCCGGCCCCTGTGTGGACGCACAGCCTTTCTGGCCAAACAGAATCAGCTAGACTCCAGGCCGTTGGGGCTCTCACGCCCCCTCTGTGGCTGGTCTGTACCAGAGCAGGGTCACACCTGCCAGGGACACTCGAGTGTCACCCGTCCCACCCTCAGCTGGGCACCCCACTGGCCCGAGCCCCCTGTCCTCCGTGTGAGACGAGGCAGTGTGTCCTCCCCGGGGAGGCGGACAAGGCACGACGGGGCAGCGTGTCCTCCCTGGCAGCTGGGTGAGGCAGAGCGCCGTGTGGGCAGGGCCATGCTCGGGGCAGGCCGCCCGCGGCCAGGTTCAAACCCAGGAAAGTGACGCGGTCTCTCAGGGCCTCAGTCTCTGCCTCTGTGAAGTGGGGACAAGCGCTCAGCTCCGTAGTCACGAGTGTCACACATGCCCCGGGAACAGTGCTGCATGTGTGGTGTCAGCTACGCCGCCCGACACAGTGGGTGAAAGGTGACGTCAGGAGTTGGCTCCCCGTGCCCAGGAGGGGCTCATGGCACAGCGGGGACCGTCCCCATGGCGGGCCCAGCGCGTCACCTCTCGTGCTGTTCGGCCTTCGAAACCATTACGCGGATGAACTTCGCGGCTGTTCGGGCGACTGAATTCTGCCGCTCACTTTAAACCCCACGTGGTGCCGCTGTGCCTTTGACCCTCGTGACGTTTGCAGGAGCCATCGATCCAGGGGACAGTGAGGAAGACGCTGGGTGGCTCGTCCTCGCAGCTGCTGGCCCGGGGAGCCCCCACGCCGCCCCCCACCGTGGCTGGGGCGCAGCGAGCCCACCCTGGCCGCCCGGCTTCCTGTGGGGCGGTGGCGGGCCCTCGGGTGGCCCCCGGGAAAGGGGAGGGGGCGGGTGGGCTCTTCCTCCGAGTCCCTGCGGACACTTGGGGCTGACAAGCCCACGGTCCTGCGTGGGGATGAGGACGGAGCCTGACGATGCCCGCCCGCCCGCCTTTCTCCAGAAATGACAGAAGCGGCTTCGCGGCCTCGATCTCGCCGCGTAGGGCGGCTGCATTTTGCCTCCGTGGCGTCGCCAGATGCGTGCGGAAGGGAGGGCGGCCTGTGACGCCTGCAGAAACGCGGCCGCGGACCGGGCGGAGCTGCGTCCTGCCAGTGGCGCCCCTCGGCCTGGTCCGTGCGGGGAGCCGGGCCCAGGGGGCGCGGCCGCGCAGGAGGAACCGCGTTTGCTTCAGTCCGAGTATTCGATTCGTCCTAGAATGCACTCCGTGAACACGTAAATATTTTCCTTGGAAATGCAGACACTTCCTGCATTTATGATGGAAAAAAATAAATGAAAGCTTTGTTTGTTTCGCATGAGCAGATGCGGGGCCGGACACAACGTGGGATGAAGCAAAAAGGACCCGGGCTGCCTCGGGGCCCAGTCTGCCCCCAGCCGTGACCTCGGGGGGTCACGCACCACGCACGCCAGCCCCTGCCTCAGGCGACTGTCACTGCCAGGAGCCACCACCCTTCCTGCGTTTCTCCTTCTCGATAACTCCTGGGCTTTCTGGCAGCATTTTTCCCACATCGTCTCCCCTTCCCCCTGTGACACTGTGATTTATAAGAAATATTTAACATTCAGAGGATTGAACTCTATGCCTCAGATGTATCTGGTCTTTGTCTGCAGCTCCCGACCCCCTGGGGATTTCCTAAGTGAAGGAGTGACCGTGACAATGGTGTCTCTTGTTTCCTCAATGAGGCAACCTCTGGTCCCCACCCGAGGGCGGGAGCGGGAGCTTGAGGCAGCCGAGCCAACCACAGCTGGAGGGCTGGTTAAACATCCTGGTGCCACCCGGTTCCTGGGGGAGAGGGGCCGAGGTCGCATGTCTCCATGACCACTGCCTTAGTCGTGAGCACCTATGACGCCCCGTAAGTCCCAGGGGCCGGCTGGCCAGCCCTTGCCCGGAGCTCCCTCCTGGCGGCTGCTTCCTGCCCGCTACGTCCTCCGCGGTGCAGCGGGGACCGGCTGCTCAGGGGCTCCCTGAGTTCTGTGAGGAGTGGCCCGTGGGACGGGGCCCGCGGGTCTGGTTCTGCTGGCTACACGCGTCAGAACCCAGCTGTCTGCGGGCGTGGGGAGCCGCCACGCACACGTCGCACACGTCGCACACGTCGGGGTTGGGTCTGCAGACCCCTCCCACCCCAGTGGAGACGCCCCTCGCCCTCCGCTGAGCCTCCCGGGCAGCGAGACCTTCCCAGAGGGTTTAACCAGGGTTTGTCGAGTTTCTGCAAATCGCCCATTGTCCTTTTGATTTTGGTTGGTTGTAGACCCACAAACTTACATTCAAGTGTTTACGGGCAGAGATTATGTAAACAATTATTGTAGAGTTAAGAAAACACATAATCACAGAAGGAGCTGGTTGTTGATACATTTAAAAAATTTGACTTTTTCTCAGAATAAAAAAGGGCGAAGAACTGTGAACGGCCCACAGCCCACATGCACGCTGTGTAGACTGAGTCTAATCGAATCCGCCCATTATTCCTCCTAGCAGGGGGCACAGGTGTGCTGGTGCTGGGTGGTGCCGGGCGGCATCTGCTCTGGGAGAGGCCAGAGCCTCGGCGGTGGGATGTCACACCACCCGGAGCTGTCACACCACCCGGAGCTGTCACACCACCCGGAGCTGTCACACCACCCGCTGAGCGGTGCCGCCCTCCCCCGAGCCAGCACGCGGTCCCAGCCAGGACACACGGGAGAGGCCGGCGAGGTCCGCAGTTGGGAGTTGTCGCAGGTCTGGGGTGGGGTTTCCCTGAGTCCCCTGTAGATTACCTAACGTCGCCCTCATAGCTCCTGGCAGAGCTGTGAGCATTTTTTTCTGACTTCAAACTTAATTTTTTCTTAGGAAAAAGCAGCATCGCAGTGTTTACCGAAGGGCCGTCTGTCGTTCTCCTGAATGAGGTCCCAGGGGAGGTCGCACTGAAGCGGATGCTGAGAGACAATCAAACCTTTCACGGACACAGAAGGACGGTGCTGTCTGTCTCCACGCAGGAGACAGAGACGAGGTGGGTACCGGGGAGGGGACGGGGACTTAGTCCGAAGCGGGGACAGAGTCTCGGGAAGATGGAAAGTTCTGGAAGCAGTGTCTGCACGACAGTGCAAATGTGCTTGATGCCACCGACAACTGGTAAAACAGAAAATTTTACATCTATTTTGCCACAGTTTAAAAAGCAATAAACCTTTCAAAATCATCTCAATCCCTCATTTAGCCTTTGGCCGCCAGCTCTCTGAGTTGTCAGCCTAGGACGCTGGTTTAGTCGGGCGCGCTGTGAGATGATCGATATTCCAGACACTCACGTTGAAATCTGGTGGAATCCCTGAGCACAAACCAGAAACTATGTGTCGGCGTCTGCGCATCTTACGACCTTCTCAGTGACGGGGAAGGCGAGGCGGTCGATGCGGCATGCGGTGACGCACGGGGGCGAAGCCCGCGACCCACACTGTCCCGCGTCCCACACTGTCCCGCGTCCCACACTGTCCCGCGACCCACACTGCCTGTGACCCACACTGTCCCGCGTCTGAAAAAGTAAACGGTGGGTAACATTCATTTAAATAATACCTGGTATTTAACCTACAATGTTATCACGTCGACGTATAATCAGTATGAAAACCGTCAATTAGATGTTCTCGTTTTTCATACTAAGTCTGTGGATTCGATGTGCATTTTACAATTAAAGCAAATCTTGACATTTTCATTAAAAATTCCTGATCTGTATTTAGATTTCATAAAATTTACTGTCAAAAAAGTAAATTCTCATACCTGCGCTGTTTCAAACATACCCAAATGTTTTCTAATAACTGAATTAAATATCAAAAAAGAATTTCCTTTAATATTTGCATCTGCGTTGAAAAAACCGATTTATTCCTTTTAGTGAGGTTAGTTGCTTTTGAAGCAAAGCACGTCGGCGTCGACCTTTGTGTGTCCAGATCACATGAATCTGTCGATCCTTGTCGATTCGGGGTCGTCGGCGTCAAGGGCAGAGGCTGTGGAAAGTGACTCTGCGTTTTCAATGTCAACGGAACAGCCCTTGCTTTGCTCCTTGCAGTTTCACAGGCGAGGCCGAGGCTGCCGCCGGCAGTGCAGCCGCGTGCGGCGGAGCCGCGTCAGGGGACGTGTGGACGGGGCGCGTCCCGGGAAGCCGACCGCGCAGCTCCGAGTCCTCGCAGGGCGTCGCTGCGTCCCAGCTCCCCGAGCACCAAGGCGGCGAGTTTAGGGCAGTTGCAGTTCCACAGCGACACCGAGGGGGGCGCCCGCGGTCCCCGCGCCCGTGGTGGCACCGAGGGCCGCATTTCACCGGAGGGCGCCGCGTGGCGCTGTGCGCTCGGGGCTGGACGGCGCGGAAGGACACACACCCGCCGTCATGGTGTCCTGCTGCGTCGTGTCGCCGCCCCGAAGTGCACCAACCCGTGGCCTTGTCCGGGACGGGTCCTGCACTGTCCAGCCACACGGCCACAGTGCGAGGACACGTCACGGTCCCCACGGCCCTGGTGAGGACCCGGAGGCTCGCAGGGCCGTCCCCGCCCGAGGTCACACAGCGCGGGAGCTGGGCGGCCACTGCCGCCTTCCGCCGGCACCGGCGATGGGGGGCTGCTTCGCGTGTGGCGGCCGTGCACCCCGCTGCCCACACGCGGCCTGGCGACAACGCAGGTGACGCTGCAGGTACGGCGACGCCGCACGCCGCCCAGTTGTGACCGCGTGTGGCTGTGCCTTGCCCAGCTCTCAGGCTCTTAAATCAGAGAGCAGGAGAGACGTGACCGAATGATCGAGAGGCTTCGGAGCCAAACGGAAACCGGCCGCCACCGACTCAGACGCCCAGTAACTAGAGCCCATTATTTCTCGTTTGGCAGTGATGAACGAAGATCCATTAGGAAAGTAACGTGACCGCGGACGGCTTTTACGGAGCAGAGCACCCCGAGCAACCGAAACTGTCTCCTCTCCCACGGACCGACGGGAAAGGCCGGCGACCCAGGCTGTCCCCACGCAGCCCCAGAGCCGCTCGCGTTTCGGGCTCCACGCCCGTGGCCCACGCCTTGTGCTGGGTCACCTCCTGGGCGCGGGCCCCGCTCTGTCTTCTACGAGGAGACTCAGAACATGGCTGAGATGCCCCTGTCCCCGGCGACGAGACTGGCCGCTGGCAGGGCCGTGTCCCAGCTGGGCGCGTCCAGGCCGCTCGGCTCGGCCAGTTTGCTCTGATCAGCAGATTTCACCAAACCTGCTGTCAAAGCAACACTATTTTGCTATGAAAATCCGATGGGAAGAGATGCCTCCCAGATGAAAATCTTAGATTCCGTTTCCGTGTCTTTGGACTTAGCACTCGAAGGCACCGTCACGTGCTGTCTCAGTGGCCGAACAAGCTTATGCCGTTTATTTTATTGCGTGTAGAATGTTTTCTGAGGCGGAGGCGTAGGAATTTCAGCCCTTCGGACGTGTGTGTGATCTGAGTGAACACCCCATGGAAGAGCCAAGAAGGTCGTCTGGGAGTCTCGGTTCTCAGGGTGCAGCAGGAGGCGGGGCCCCCCACAGCAGGGCCCAGGGGGTGGAAACGGGCTGCGGCTGCCAGGGGCCTTGGTGCTCATGGCTTCCACGGGTGTGTGCTCTACCGTGAGGGCCCCACAGGGGCGGGGACACGCGGTGGGACAGACCCTGTCTGCTCTCAGGGAGCCGGGATCCCCCCCGACGGCACAGGACAGACACGGGGACGTCCACCAAGGGAGACGAGTCCAGGCGAGGTGGCTGCGGGGACCCGCGTGAGCTCCGGCGAACGGACGAGGGACTCCTGTGACGAGGTGACATCGGCACCAGGCCCTGGCAGGGCAGCCGGTCCCGCGAGGGAGTGGGGAGTCGGTGTCCACCAAGCGGGCCAGAACGCAAAGGGCCGGGCGTGGCTGGGCGCAGGGCCAGCGGTCAGGGAGAGAGGCCGCAGGGCGAGGGTTGTCCGGTTAATGGGTCGGTGCTGAGAAGCAAGTTGTCAGGAGCCAGAGGAAGCCGCCGGCTGGCGTTTTCCAAGGGCCACGTGGCTTCTGGGCGCAGACGGCCCCCGAGGCCGAGGAGGGCTCAGGGCACTAGAAGGTTCTCTTGCCAGTTGGTTGGGGGCGGAGGGTTTGGCCAGACCCCACGGCCCCAGGTCCTGCTCTGCCACCACAGCCTATTGGAGAGCGCGGGACGCCGAGGGCCACCTGCCGGATGCTCAGCTCGTCATTCCCACACAGGTGGCACGTCAGCCTCACGCAGTGGAGCGTGTGCCTCGGCCGGTCTCGTGTGGCTTCAGGTTGCGGTTCCGCCACCGTCAGCGTGTGGCTCGGGGGCGTCTCCTGGCCCCGGACCTCGGGCCCCTCGTGTGCAGGATGGGAGCACCGAGGGCTGGGCGCGAACCGAGGAGTCCGCGAGCCCGTGCCACGCGCTCGGCCATTGCCCAGCGAGGGGTGAGCCCCCTCAGTGGTCACGGCTCCGGTGTGGCCAAGCTGGACTCGCGGTGGGTGGACAGCACACCAAGCTGTCGATACGTGTTTCTGCTCAGGGACCAAGGCCCTGGCCGTCCCCTGGAGCCAGTGGTTTAGAGCGGCTGACGGCATGGGCTGGGTGCCGACGACTACGCTGTTCGCTCTGCGACCAGGCGGTGCCGGGGGCTGAGCTCCCTGCGGCCCGGGTCCCCCATGTAAGCCCCATGCGGGGGGCGGGCCACACCGGCAGGTCACCTGTCGTGCTGGGCAGAGCACCTGGACCTTGCGAGGTTTCCGCGAGTGGCGATAACAGCACAAAAGCCATGATTACGACGATTCTGCAGCTGTGTCTGCGACGCAGCCCGGGCCTCGTGACGAGCAGTTCCGCTGGCAAGGCAGCGTGTCCCCTGCGGACGTCACCACGCAATGAGCCTCCCCCACCGTCTGGACCCCGTGGCCGCCTTGTCCAGCCGGGCGGGAGGTGGCGTCGGCGTCGGGTGGCCCTCCGGGTCCCTTTGGGGATGGAGTGCCCGGGAGTGGCCGATGCTGCGTCTCAACGTCCCCCGGTCTCCGGGGATTTCGTGACGTCCCTTTGGTGTTTACACGGCTTAACTCTCTAGTCTACAGACCCTAAAAGCACTGGTGACAGCAACAGACGGCGTTGGGGGCGCCAGCACCACCTGCAGTGCGGCCCTGATTCGGGGACGGTTCCTGGAACACTGTGACCCGCAGATGCCTCTCCAGTCCCGTTACTCAGAAGAAACGCATGGCACTCGCGATGGCTCTAAAAACCGCAAAAGCATTTAAAAACCCCGCACGGGACGTGTGCTTTGTCTCGAGCGGTGAGCGGACATCCCCGCTCGCTTCATCCCCAGGGCGGCCGGCTCAGAATCACGGCCGACAAAAACCATTTGGCTTTTTCTCCTCAAAAACAAGGCGGCCGCTCCGGGAGCTCAGCACGCAGGGGCCGTGGCTGCCACCGCCTTGCTTTGCCCTCCACGGCGACGTCCTCAGAGCTCCCTCTTCCGCGAGCGCCCTGATCTCACGTTGGTCTGGACGACTGGGCCCGCACCCCGGCTCGGGCGTTTCTGGGGTGCAGGGCGCCCCCAAAGGTAGGGGCGGTCCCGCTCCAGCGCCTCCCCTGTCCCCATCTCCTGGGCTGGACCTGCTGAGGGTGGCAGTCCTGTGCGTCACGACAGGAAACTGTCACCGTGAAATGCACGTGAGGCCGACGTCCTGTCTGCCCTCGTCACTCCTGCAGGGTCCACGGGAAGACGACGGGCAGGTGAGGCGCTCCGCCCGGCATGTGCGGCAGGGCCGGGCCGGCGGGCGTGGACGGAGAAGGCGTTGGCCACGCAGGGTCTCTGTTCCACGGAGTCCTGTGGCTGGCCCTGGAGGGGACCCAGGAGACAGCGTGGGCCACCAGGGCGTGGAGGGGGGGGCTGCACAGCCGCGGACTCGGCCGGGCACCAATGTCCTCGGAGCTGCCCTCGGGCCTGGGGGTGCGGCCTGGGGCAGGTCGCATGCGTGAGCTTCGGGTCGGTTGTTTGGTCTGCATCTTGCCCGTGTCGCTTGTGGCTTGTGTGTGTGGCAAGAAGTCTAACTTCTCCGGGCCACGGCGCCCCTCTGTCGAAGGGGATG